ATAAAAACGAATTTTAATATTTGTTCTTTTTTTTGTTCCATTTGTTCCTCATCAATTTTGGGGAGGAACATTTTTGTTCTATTGTTCCTCATTTTGTGAGGAATGTAGAGGAATGATGTGGAAAAATGATTCCTTGTAAATGGTAAAAAAATTGAGGAATGAAGAGGAATGTCACATTCCTTCTATTTTTTTCCTAAATCATGGTTACCAATCGAGGCCTTCGTACTTATGACGAAAACGTAAAAGGATAGGAAAAAGGAAGATCGTCAGAAATACCCTTCCTCTTTCCCACGAATATACCTACAAAATCTCCTTCGGCGCGTTTTTGGTAGGAAAATTTCTTTCCAATATCTTACCATCATCGATTTCTTACGGGTGATTTCCTACCATTTTAATGGTAGGAATATCGTAAGAAACGGCTTTTACTACCATTTTTTCACGCAACTGGCCGTAGGAAATCGCTGTTTTTCTTGTAATTATGGTATATTTGGAAGTCTAGAAATGCCAAAGTCTATGATAATGTGGATATGAGCCCCTTCGATACAGTTAGGGTTGCAAAAGATGAGTCGAGAGGTTGGTATGACGTACGGATGGAAGACCTCGGGTCTCCCACCGAGCCTTTGGCAGAAAATAAACGATTACAAGGTCGCATAAGGAGACTACCTAATCTGTCCACGGGTTATCACTGTTTTATAGGTTGGTTCTATCAGTATGCTCGAGACTTTTCAATGATGATGGGAGCTTTAAATCTCCGCCGAAGCCTTTCTCTCCTCCATTGAGAAGTAGAAGCGCTGGTGTGGGTGATGCGATGCATGATTGCATATGACCACATAGATGTAGTGTTTCTTACCGACTTTTCTGATTTGGTAAAGATAGTGTCTTCTCCTACCGAGTGGTCGGCGTTCTCTGTTTACCTAGATGACATCAACATTGATAGGGAAGAATTCTTAACCTTTTCTTTATCTCTTATCCCAAGGAGTTTGAATGTAAAAGCGAATACTTTGGCACGCAAGGCCCATACCAGTCCGCATCTAGTGAAGAATGTAAACGATTCTCCTCCAAATTGGCTCGTTTGAGCTAATTCTTAGTTTTTGTTGACAAACAAATAAAAAAGAAGATCATTTTACTTTTTCTTTATTTGACCAAATGTGGACAGAAATCTTGAGATAAAGTTTGATCTTTTTCATGAAGATCTGAAACATTAAATGAAAACTTGATTGATCTTATAAGTGTGTGATCTAAAAACTAAGTTGTAGCTGTTTATTTATTTATTAAGCATAGGCTTAATATGACAGGTTAATTCTAGTATCTCGTAATAAAAAAGATTGTATTCTTCTGGCTCTTGATTATTGCTGTTTTAATTTTATAAAGTACTTTTCTGACTCTTATATCACAAGATTAATAACAATATACAATAAAATCTCTATAAATTAATAATGTCCAAACCATAAAATAATTAATTTATAGAGATATTTATTCATCTATAAATTAATAATTATTATTTAAAAAGAGATATTCTTAACGTGGTAATCTTTTTAAAATATATACATCAAGAATAATATAAAATCATTATAATCAATATTTATTTAGATCAACAGTATAAAATAATTATTTGATACATGAGCTCTAATATAATTGAATTCAAAAAAAAAATTGATACAAACTCAGTACAAACTATTATTATGATTCATTTCCTCTCTCCAATTTCTCTATTTTCAAAGTTATATCTCTAACATCTTATGTTTATAGACACCACAAATGTTTTGCCTCTCGAAGGGCATTGTAGTAAAAGATATTGGCGTCACAGATGTAAGAACAAGTCATATAACATGACTTGATTCTTGTAGCTCGGCAAAAGATTCGAGCTCGAAAAACCTGTGGCATTTAGATTAAGTTATATTGACAAGGTTCATGAGATGGTGGTACATCTATAAGAAAGATAAATTGTATTGAGTTATTTAACTTGATTAACTTATGATAGGACGAGAATAGAAGCAAGGAAAAAAAAGGGTGCACATGTAAGAAGTCAGCATGCTTGAAAAACTATACTACGAGTGTTAACTGGTAAGACACTTTTGTTCACAAGTACACTCATTTTGTCAATTATATATATTCTCATAAAACATTCCATCTTATTTGTGGGGTAAATATTAAAATAATACTTACTCAAATGATGAAAAAACTAAAAATAAATAAATAAATAAAATTTTCCTTTTTTTACAACCTACAAAAAAAGGGGAAAAACTTAAAATTAGCTTATCTATCTTTTATTTGGAAGAATAATACCAAAATAATAAAACGTGTAATTTAATACCCAAAATATTAAATATTGTCATTTTCCTACATACGATCTAAAAAAAAAGTATTTTAAGTTTATCCTTATTCATTTCTATTTATTATTAATGCATAAATGACCTGGAATTAATTATTGTTTTATATGAAAAAAATATTTGTTAGTAATATTCCAAAACTGTTTTGCCTGAAAAAGGAAAAGACAAAAACCAGTATTGGGGAAAAGTTGTGATGGATCTCATCAGTGGGATACGCAATATCAAGACCCTTCACTTGACATTTTCGGCTGTTGAGGTAAGTTTCATGTTTATGGTCTCTTGCCATTCTTTGTGTTTGTGTGTGTTTTAGCTGATTTCTTTATTTTGCAAGTCAGGTGGACTACCGGTGTTCAGCAACCTCGTTGAGTTAGTGTTTTCGAGTAAGAAACAAGGTTGGATAGTGCTTCTGCCACTTCTGCTAGAGGTTTATCCAAAACTAACAACTCTGGTTCTCACGGTATGAAAAAAAAAAAAAAAAAAACCCTCTTTATGATTGTTGCATGAATATAAAGTAGCTAAACTTGATCCTCTTTGATGTTTTCACGGTCTAGGTCGTTACACATTGAGAGCATGTCAAATTGTTGGGGTTCGAATTCCCTCGAACAACCAAATAAAGATGTTGCATATCATACAATATCAAGGAAGTGCAACCGAGCTGAAACAGTTTAAGCCATTTCTTACTGCATATGGAGTGTCTTGAAGTTGTGAAAGTCTACGTTGCACGGACCAAAAAGATGCAACTCACCGAGGATATACTAAAGCTTCCAACAGCTTCATCTCAGGTCAAGATACAAGTCCTGTGATCATCATCCACAACTAAGTTACTTATCTTCAAAAAATTGAACTGCAATACTCCTCTCGCGTGTTTGTTTTCGATATCTCAATACTCAATGCATTTGTATGAAACATTCATGGGTGCGTCATTTTGTTTTAATTGAATGAATATGAGAAGTAAGGAAGTGATGTACTTCCCTTGATTCCATATATTAAAATATATAGAGCTTCTAACAAAATAAATGTCTTAATGTTTCATATTTCATACAGCAATCAGAATCTCCAACGTGCGAGTCATGTCACTTCTACTACTGAGAAACGTCAAGCAACCTCGTGGCTTCGTGAACCAAACCCAAAACATTCTCTACTTCTTCTTTAATCTTGCCTGATATGCCATTGTTATTCTTCTCCAGCGTCTGCAACGTATTCTCGACTCTCTCCATCGTAGTTTTGTGCATATCTTTCGCTTTAAGCTCCTCTGCATTGAGCTCTTCTCTTACTATCAGCGCCTCTTCTTTTCTCAGCTCTGATTCAAAGACAAGCTGGTGAATCTCGATTATCATGTTTTGTATTTCAGACATGCCTTGTTCTTCCACCTCCTGAATAGTTTGTTTCTCTTGGATTGTGTTCTCCAATTCCATTTCTGATTTGGTTCTCGTCTTTGAGCTCTTCTCTATCTCTGTTTCAATGGATTTGATCTCCTTCTCCAGTTTCAAGGACTTCTTGGTCATGTTGTCAACTTCTTTTCTGATTGAGGCCAATTTCTCCCGAGAAAGCTTCATCTCGGACTGGAGCTTTGTTTTCTCTTCCTCTGATTTCAGCAAATCTGTGGCCTTGCCTGTACGCAGAGTGTTTCGCTGAGGAGTGTTGATCTTCTCAATGTTATCAATCGTGCAAAGAACCTTTTCTTCCTCGTGCCTCTTGTTCTCTTCATCCACTTTTATTTTCAGCATTACAATGTTACTCTTCAGCTCTGCCTCGGATTGTTGGATCTTGCCCATAGCAGCATCGATTTCTCTTTTGTAAGAACGGAGAACATCAAGTTTCTCAATTTTCTGGTTTAGATGATCGGAAGATGCGTTTACGTGCGCCCTTGCCCGTTCTTCTCGCTGTTGAAAGTAAGCTGCAGATGATGCAAAGTTGGACAGTGAGCATCTGAGAGCCGCCAGCTTTTTCTCTGCAACTTCTTTTCTTGCATTAGTTTGATCAGAGACAGTTTTGATTGATTCTAGCTCATACTGGTGCTCCTTAACTTTGTCTTCAGCCTCTTTGCTTTCCTTTGACAGTTTGATGATGTCCAAAATATTTTCTTCAAGTGAAGAGAACACTCCAATGGTTTTTGCAGAGACTGAAAGCTTTTCCCGAGCCAGTTCAAGTTTCAGCCTTGCTGAGTTTAAATCTTCTGTAGACTTTTCAGAAGAATTGTTACATAGTTCCATCTCAGTATCAGAGGAGCAGTTGGCACCATCACCATCAACTTCAATAGGCTTCTCTTGGTCAGGAGAAGAGAGCAGTCTTTTGAATTCATCCTTTTCCTTCATTGCATTTTCATACAGACTCATTAGCTTCTCATTCTCATCGTGCATCTCGCTAAGCTGATTCTCCATGTTTCCTATCATTTTCTTCAGTTCTTCAGCTGCACTTTTCTCAACCTCCAGAGCAATTTCTGCACTGTTCTGAGCCTCAGCATTATTACTTGATGCATCTGTCCCAGTATTCACCAAAGCTCGGGAGCTGTTTTCTGCGGCTACTTGTTCATAAAGCTCTATAAGTTTGTTGTTGTCCTCGATCAAGACCTTAATTTTCTGGCGCAAATCATCATTTTCTTTTGACAACTTGATTGCTGTCTCGTGAGCTTCAGCTTCTCTTTGACTAACACATGCAATGGCTTGAACCATTGTTTTAACCTCCATCTGATCTTCATCACCAACCATGCCTGAGGATCTTATTCTTCCCTCAAGTTCCTTAGACAAATTGTCGATAAGCCTACAAGAGAAATCCAAAGAGATGAGCTGAGGCCTAATAATTGGCATTGAAACTAAAATGTATATTGTGTGCAGTCAATTACTTCTGCAATCTCTCTTTTTCGTCAAGTGAAAAACTTAATGACTTCTGTAGAGATTCCATTTCTGCCCGGTTTTGAATAGCCTTCAGATTAGAAAAGAAACAAGAAATTAGAGAACTTAGTGTCATAAACTCTAACTGAAAAGACAGACAGAAGGCAAGAATTACCTGCATCCGGAGGAATTCATTCTCGTCTTGGATTGACGAAAGTTTCTTTGATTCCTGATTCTGCAAAAAAACGAAAAATCAAGATGCCAAAACATAGAGAAGCAACATATTTGCATGGCAGAAATAACAGACTATGCGAATCAAGCCCTTACTTGGTTTGAGCAGAACATATTGCTGATGTTACCATCTTCTTTCACCATGGAGGAATCTGATTCGTGCATGAGTTTCCAATCAAGAGCTTCAAGCAACTGTAGATAGATCCAAGTTACATGCTAATTCAAATCGTAAGCAAACTTTCCACGTCTTGGGAGGACAGATAAATATACTCACCTTGGCTTGTAACGCTTGGATCTGTTGATTCAAGATATCCCGTTCACCTTCTTCACATTGTGATTTCAATCTGTATAGCAAGTTAAAGTTTAAACAACACAGAAAAATCGAATATTGCTTAGGGGAAAAACATAAGTAATTTTCAAGGAGTCTTCTTGCCTTCGGATCTCTTCTTTCAGTCGCAAATTCTCTGTGGCAAATTTGGTAACTTCCTGATTTCTGTCAACTTGAGCACGTAGCACCTCAATCTCCTTCATAAGATCACCCTTTTCTTTTTGCAGATGTGCTTCAACAGAGATCTTTCCTGAAGCTACACCTTGTAAACTTTTAATTGCTGAATCTCGGAGCTTTAACATCATCTTCAGCCCTCGTATTTCATCCTCTCTTTTCTTTTCCTGTTTGGAGACATTTTTATTAAATAAATATCATCATCTGTTATCCTCTGCTCTTCCACAGTACGTAAAGTTTCATGTGAGGAATCTAGTTCTAACGTACCAACTTCACTGAGGCCTCATTTTCCGCAGTCAATGCATGTAAAGCAGCGTCCTTTTCCCTCTCTCTTCGGAAAGCACCAACAAGTGCAACTTCGTAGTCTTTTACCTACAGAGCCATGCAAAAGAAATGTAAAGAACAAACCAAGAACAAACCACATGCTGAATGAAGATCAAGCAAATCAGTTTCAAACCTTAGACATCCTAGGAGTGAATGATCCATTGAACCCATCCCACTTGAGAGACATTGGAGAAGCAGGGCAGCCCATTGAGACAGTGTCCATGTCCTGATTATCTACTCCACCATTAACCATTCTTAGGCGGGATACTTCTTTCTGTAGAATATGATTTTGAACACTTAAAACAAGGTCGTAAGAAATAAAAGAAACAGTCTTTGTTGAAAGAAACTACCTTGAGTTGTTGAATTTGTAGCCGCATAGCAATAACATCTCCAGATGCATCTTCATTGACGATTGCCTGTTGGGTTTAACCAGATTATTCAAACTCAGTGCACTATAATGGGTTTAACAAATTGATCCATGACGTAGCAAACAATGACAGGAATAATTTCATTACATTGTTCTTAATAAGCTTGGCACGCTGTGCAAACTTCAAGGTACTTAAAGTCTCCAACGAGCAACTGAGTAAGAGGGGAAAACATGCATTGCCAAGGACCATGAGATACAATCCAATGAATATTTGAGGGAGAAAGGTCTGGAATATCAAACAGACAGAGTATTTAAATACCTGCTAGATGGGCTAATATTAGCAATTATTATTGTCTTTGAATTCCCTCCGAGGGAATCCTGTAAATATATAAGAGTGACATTCAATCAGTGCAATTAGGAGCGAGTACCACAATACAGGATTCATAGCTAAAATTTGCCATATGCTTGATAAATCATACTGAGATCTCATTATTTAAGAAGTTCTTTTACCTGAAGCAGAAATGTGAGCTTCGAATCTCGATAAGGAACATGGACTGATTTTCCATTGGAAACACTTACGAGATTCATGATCACAAGCCTGCAAAGTAAATGTGGGAAAAAATCATTAGAACAATATAACAAAGAACAAACTAGAATACTTGAGTTGTAGCTTGTGAAAGTTGTAATCTTACCCCAATGTTGAAAGAGACTTGTTGATGTTGGTTGCTTCTTTGAGGCGTTCACCTTCAGCTCCTGAACTCTTTTGCCTATATTCCAGATGTTAGCATAATAACTTGACAGAGAAAGGGTAGTCGAAGTTTTAGTTATAGCTGATTTTACCTTTCAGATCCAGCTAAGTCAACAAGATTAAGCCGTGCAAAACGATGATGAGTTACACCTTGAGATACCCACTGATAGAAAACACAGGTCAGGTTAATTTTTAATTTGAGAAATTGATAAGATACAAACTACCAATTACAGATTGCAAACTCACTTTGACAAGTAAAATGAAATTTGATTACCTTGCTTTCGATGATACATGTAAATACACTGTGGGATCGACTACTTGCACGATTCATATTAGTCGCAGCTACTTTCCTGTTTGCAGCACCCTACACATAAAAGTTGCATAAGAAAGCTATTATGGTTAAACGAATGACATGAGCAAATTGTCAACAAATTCTTGCATTATCTTTCTGAGTATAGAACGACAGAGCATCAAGCATGCACAGCAGTTAATAAAAGTCAAAGAAAAGATGTGAGTTCAAGAAAATAGTGTCACAAAAGCTTCTTCATGGACATTGACTAATTTTACTAAGAAAATTTAGAGTATAATTTTCCGTAACTTTCTTGAAACTTGAACATAGACAGAACAAATATTTCTTGAGAAATTTAAACTTTTATAGAATCACAGTTTTATAATTAGGAGAATTAGTATGGAACAGGTCACAATCAGAAAGAAAAAAAAAAACTAGAAACGCAGACGAAGTGCACCTAATATTAATAGCTAAGAGAAGAAAAATGAATTACCAGCATCAATTGTTGAATCACGTCTCTGGCACTTGAGACTTCAATCTCCTTTAGATTTTCAACATGAATACCTTTCTTGTGGTCTTCCCTTAGCTGCAAAACAGGATGATTGGTTAATCCCACATAAGATACAACATTTAGATCAGAAGTTTCGATGATACATTTGGTATGTATACCTGTAAATTATAAGATGATGGATCTAATAAATCAAGGATTTGCTCGTTGTATATCTCCAGAAATGAGCATCTACAAGTAAAGTGTAGCTTTTCCTCTTTGCGGACTTCTTTTTCCTGGTACAGAAAAGACAGATAAGTCAGCACAAAACGTTTTACAGCAAAAACATATCCATCCACAAAAATGTAAGGTAGTAAACCTTTTGGATCCTTGAGAACAAATACTCAAAAACTCTAGGTGTCATCCCGCAATTGACACTGTGTCTACGTGTTCCTCCCTCAATATCTCCAAGCATAGTGTGAGTTTTCCCACTTCCAGTCTGCAAATTAAGAATATCATCAGACTGGAAACACTAGAAGTAAATAACAGATAAAAATTAGATTCAAAGAAAGAAATAAACCGCACCTGTCCATAGGCAAACATACAGCTATTGTAACCAGCCACCACATTCTCCACCATAGGCACTCCAGCCACTTTAAACATCTGCTCCTGTAAGGTTAAAATGAAAAAAAAGCAAGCAGATTCAGGAACATTCTTGAGCTTCTAAACATGTATAAAAAACCACTGAAAAAAAAAGGCAGTACCTGTGAAACATTCTCATCAGCAACGAGATCAAATGTGAAACGAGACTCTGGATTCCCAATCCAAGTAATTGCCTGTCCATTGTCTTGCCTTACACATTTGTTGTTGCCTTGTGTAGAAATCTCTGAACTACTAAGTGGCCGTGTTCTTATGATAACCTATTTACAACATTTGAATCAACAATTGAATAAACTTAGTTTTTCTTTCATCCTGCAAACTCAATAAAACTCCGATTTCGCAAATTGTAAAACCCTAAAATACTCTCAAATCCAATTCGTCAATGTGATTGTGAAGTACGAACATTAAGATTCATTGAAACCAGAAACGTATTAGCTACCAATTTAACCTAGAACACACTGCCTACAACACAGAAGCTAAGAGAAATCAAATCAGATCAAATCATCATCAATCTCAAAATTACCCAATACCAATGGATACAAAAGATCGCACCTGAACATTGTGATCTTTCCAAAACGCGGGATCTTCATTGAACTCAAAGCTTTGAGACCTCGAAATCTGAGCAGATCCAGCGCAAATCGCACCATCTTCGTCCAATTCAGACAAGCTTCGAACCGCGGAAGAGAAAACCAAAGACTGATGAGTTTGATTCTCCCTCGAGACGGTGTTAGCTTCCGGCGTACAAGGCACAGCGCGTAGTGACTCCGACGGAGCGGGACGGTCGTTGAATCCGAACCGGCGCTTGATGGCGCTAGCAGTCTCGGAGATAAACGGCATAGTCGATTGTGTTGGGCGATGAGAGAAGATGAGAATCACTGAGTCAGTGAGAGAGAGAGAGAGAGAAGAGAGAAATTTGAAATTTGGGTCTGAAGGGGGAAAGAGAGAGAGTAAAGGAAGCGTTGTGAAGAAGACGAGAGATTATGATCGGAGGGTGAAGGGAGCGTGTAAATGAACGGCTGAGATTGATTATAGTTTTTTGAAATTAATCGGAACGTTGGAGTTTGGGGCTTTATGACTTTTCTCAAACGTTGCGCCTCCACTATTTGTTAATTCATTAATAGAATTTTAAACCGGTTATGATTGAACCAAACCGTGGATACTTAAACCGGGAATTGTACTCCCTCATCAATGGTGAACTTTTAGATCTAATGCATTATGAAATGTACATTAAATACTAGCTAAGTATGAGAAAGGCTGGTTTTATACTTGTTGGCCATTATTATTGATGGCCTTAGGATTTGTTAAGAAATGGGTTTTATATAAGAGTTTCTTTTGATGGTCTTAGTGAGTCGAAATAGGGATGTATTACTCTTAAGTTGCAATACTTATACCACTATATCAAATAAACGTTTTGAAGAAGGGCCGAATTTTGCTTATAATATAGAGGGTCGCAAGCTAATGTTTCATGAGAGCTTGGCTCATGGATCGGCTTTGATGATGGATATGCGGAGGACCTAGGTATTTTAGAATAATTATATTTGAGAGTAAGAAGAGAGTAAAATGTTCCAATACATTATAGAGAAATTTAATGCAAAAACACAAGGCTAAAGTAAGAAATTTGTATTCACTCGAGTATAAGAGATTTTACTATTAACGGCATTGGTAATGCCTATATACTCCATGGATGTACTCAAACTCTCAAAAGATATGTGAAGAAATCAATAGTTTCTTATGGAGTTCTCAAAAGAATATAAGGAAAAAATTTATAAGAAAGATTGAAATTGAATGGGAATCTTCAACAAAGATGGAGGAGTGGGATTCAGAGACTTAAAATTTATAATATTTTAAACATTGTCTTTGGAAAACAAGCTTGGAGAGTAATGCAACAGCCTAATATACCAGAATCAAGATTAACATATAAGAACAATAGAACACAATTTTCTTTAGGTAGTATATTGATTACATCTTTTTGTGTTTTTTGTTTCTTTTATTTACTTAAATAAAAACATGGGAACAAAGTGAAAATATAATCTTGTGAAGGGAATAAGTCACTCTTCTCTTACAAAAGAGGAAGTGAAGTAGTGCTCTAATTATTTTCTTAAAAACAAAACAAAAGAAAAGACCAAGTAATAAGACTTGATCTTTGAACTTTGGGTTTGGTTTCCTCCGGTCTAAACCCTAACCCCTAAACTCATCATCAAAAGCCAAGAAATCTTCTAGAATTATCACCATTACCATAAGTGGGTGCAGGACTTGGAGCAGGGGAGATACTAGGCTGTGAGACAGTATCAATGAAAGCACCCAATGCCCAATTTAATGGTGTGTTCTTCACTTTATTCGAAAATATGACTCTGCAAGAAAACCAAACTGTTTATAATTTTTTTTCCTAAAATGGACGTTGATTACTCTAAATGTTCTTGAATTTGTGAGTAACATTTACCTAGGAGTACCAAGTCTTTCAAACATTGAGATTATATACGCTGATGAGAAGCAATACCCACGCAAATATTCTAGATCAGTTCCTTCGTATTCCTTTACCAGTTCGTCCCAATCTTTTCGACAAAACGCGTCGCCCTTATGCCTCAAGTCGGAATACCAAAATTTTTGATCTAACTTGAAGAACTGATTCAAATTTCAGAATAGAAACACAAAAGAACAATGCTCAAAAGATCATTCCAAAAAAATTCAAACATAAATCTTAGTGTCATGAGATTATACCGTGCTGGTGAAGAAGAAACTTGCTGTAGCCAAAAAACTATTTCCTTTAAGCTTAGGTGTGTATGTTGATCCAATAGCACAATAACTAGATGGACACATATCTGTACATATATTACCAAAACCACACTCTTTAGGGATCAAGAAAATCAAGAAAGATAAACAAATATTCATATATATCAATATTTCACTTTTTTACCGTTTTGTTCTTTCAAAAGTTCAAGTGTTTTGGTTTTGCAATCTGTGAAATCACCAGCAGCTTCAAGCTTTGTATATTCGCTTTCATCAGCTAGGAATACAGATAAATATTTGTTTTGATGATTTACGTATTTGTATCCTTTTGGAGTACAAGGGTCTTTAACCTTTTCGTCCCCAACAGCTGTATAGATTGAAACACCATATGAGTTTGATGAGAGTTTCACTAATAATTGCAATATATTATTAACTTTATAGAAACTTCAAATTCAATGAGTAAGTTGATTATTTCTAAGGATTTGCTAGTAACTAACTTGACTTTTGTAGTTTATCCATTAACCTTTTTATTGCTGCATCCTGCAAGTGGACAAATAAGTTAGTTTTTATTCTTGTTAAATTACCACACGGAACCAAGCAACCAATCCGAACCTAAACCCGAAATTTTAAAATACGGGAACAGGTTCTAATCAAATTTCAAGATTTGAAAACCCAAATTCGAACCGAATCCAAATGGATACCCGAATACACCCATGTAGAAATATATAATAATAATAATAATAATAATATATATAATAATAATAATAATAATAATAATAATAATAATAATAATATTTATATTTTTGATAAGCTAAATGCTCAAAATATTTACATACCTATGAAACTAATTTTTTAGTAAAAAATTATTTGGGTAAAAAATTCGAGATTTTGATATAGTTTATATATTTCCTAATAGTTTGGGTATATTTTGATACTAAAATTTTGAGTTTATAGAACTTCGAGTTATACGAATCTAGACCCAAAATACCCGATCCAAACTCAAAATTTAGAATACCTAGCCGAACATATCCTATATCCAAAAGTCCAAAATATCCCGATCCAAAACCCGAACGTCAACATACCCTACTAACATTTTCACAATTTTGAAGGGAATGAATAAACAAAATCATCGATTCTATTATTACAAAAAGTGCTTTCCAAACAACTCCTTTTTAAAAGCTAGAAAGATAAATCAAAGATAAATGCTCTAGTCTCAAAAGTTACCTTCCCAGAGTCGGGGAAACTGTGACTGTAGATATTATACGGAACACTTCCATAGGTTTTGTTACGCGAATCCACATGAGACACAAGCTTATCACTCGACACAAATGTCACCTAAACAAATGCACAAACATTAAGTTTAGTATGTTTTTTTCAACCCAATGTAGTATGGTTTTTTAAACCAGTTCTTGTATTGAGAACCTGCATCTAAGCAAATGCTATTGTTTTATTAAATGCCAAAAAGATGTCTATAAATGATTAATTTTTAAGTCATTTTTAACAATTATTTCTTTAAATAATCCTATATTATGAAATTATTTAAATTAAAAATAGGGACATTCTCTAAAATACCACCATTTTTGTTTTTAGGACAAAATTACCACAAGACTAAAATTAAATTTTAAATTTTCAAACTTTAAATTCTAAATTCTAAACATTAAAGCCTACCCTCTAAATACTATACCCTAAATTGCAAATAATTAACCCAAACCAAAGATTTAAAATTCCATACCATTGAGCAATAATTTGAATTTAGTGGTATTTTTGGAAAGAAAACCAAAATAATGGTATTTTGAGGAATTCCTCTTAAAAATAAGTTGAATAATGTTTTCTCGTCAAAATTAACGAAAACAAGATTATGCAATTTATAGATAAAGTATGGCATGATTATATATATATAACTTAATTTTTAAGTTTAGTCATTAATGTCATGTTAAGTGTATCGATTAGATTTAAACATATGTCAATTTTGATTTTGTTAATATATTAAAATATTAGCCTATTATACTAAAAGAAAAAGAAATTGTTCACCTCTATTCAAAAAAAGTAAAAATTCTTTATCATATCGGAAAAATGAATCGGAAATATGTTTTATTTTTATTATTTAAAGCTTGACTTATTTATAGTTATTTGATCATATTTTTGAAAATGTGTTTAAATAAAAAATTTGGTTATATATATATATATATATACATTGATAATCTTTTATATGCATGTTAATTTTATTATGTTTTAAAAATCCAAATATTTTGCATGTTACAAGTTTGTCGATAACATTATCTGACAAGAGACTAAACCAAACCTGCGCAGAAGCCCCACCGAGCTCAAGAATCCCTGTTGTTGGCGACTTATCATTTCCAAGCGAACCAAGTGCGTAATTAGCAATTACCCAAGCATATAAACCTTCATCAGATCCTGAAATGAATTTTCCAAATAATTTTAAAACACTTCCAATTTTTTCATTTTCATTTTTGAATGAAGATTGATTGATTCCAAAAAGACTAACCACTGATAACAGAAGCCCATTCGTCGCGAAAACTAAGTCCAGAAGCATGAAGAACTTCTCTAGCAGCATTAAGAATGTTTTCTCGATCATCATAAGCAATCAATCTCATCCCAGCTGTCGCCATTAACCTAATGTCACTCCTGCTCCACATCAACTCGGGAATCTTTGCTTTGGCGAAGTCCACAAGTTCTTGCACTTTCACTTTCGCTCCGTCCAGATTATTAGCAAACGTTGACAAACCATCTGGAATACTAAACGACTCGTAGTTGAGACTTCCGAAATTGAAAACGGGTACCCCAAACTGATCAATGGAGTACTTGAACACATGTACTCGGGACCCTGAACTCCCGGCATCGATAATGGCGCTGTACAAATTTCCGGATGGTGGAGCTGGAACTGGAGCTGGATTTAAATTGAGAAGTAAGGACACTATCCCCAACGCTAGAGCCCCGGAAATGACGGTTGGGATGATAATTCGTTTCTTGAGTTTCGACGGCGGCGATGATGGTTGGTGATCGGGTAGAATAGGAGCCTTGAGTTCATCCATCTCCGGATTCATTTTTTCAACCTAGAACAAGTATGAAATCTTTACATTAATATCATGGATCGGATATAAATGATTATACATACAAATTTGGAAAATGATCGTAACTATAGTATATAAGATATATTGGCCTATCCATTGCGAAATAGTTTTGAGTTGAAAACCAATTATCTAATAACTAACGTCGAAACCTTAAAAACACAAATTAGACAATCATTAACAATAGCAATAAACGCAATGAAGAAAAATAAGCAGAATTTAAGGGAAAAAAAAACAAAAAAAAAAAAACCTTAACCCAAACAGCTAAGACTTCTTCTTTTTGTATCTTCTTCTTACTCTACAATCTGACTCCTCTTATATAATCAGAGGTTTACAAAAAGTGATGAAACGTGGGTCGTCATATGCATTATTGGCTAGTTTTCTATGTTGAAACTCTTGTAAATATTATTCGTAGAATAGTTCTAACAATAAATTTGTGATTAATCAAATGATTGTACGTACATTAGTTGGTTATATTTGGGTCACGTTCATACATGATATGTAAGGAACATTAATTGAACTACGTAATTATGACTTCAATAAACTAATGTATAGTTCGGAAAAATCAATAAATACAATAAATAATAATAATTAACAAAATTTAATTAAATATATTAGATAAGATTTGTTTTTTAAATGAAATATATAGTAATATCACAAATTAATAGCCATATATATAATATTAATGTTTATAAATTAATTTGTTGATATACTTGATCGCAAAAACAAAATTATTGATATACTTTTTGTGTTCCTCCAAATATTTCATAATATAATAAATTTTGAAGTGTTAAATATCAAATTTATATTTCTTAAACATATATGTATTTTTTTGAAAATTACACTTACCAACCAAAAAACTCGTATATAAAGTTTTTCTGAAAGTATATGTAGATTTATTTATCATAACAACTAGATGTTGACCCGCGGTACACCGCGGGATAATTTTTTTTTTTTAAATTCATATTTTTAAAAATTTATAGATGTTAGAGTTTATTTAATAATTATTAAGATTGCATAATATCAATCTTTACTAAATTAGTTTAATTATACATGTTTTATATTAGTGTCGGTTAAAAAAGTAGTAAAATGACCCGTATTTAATTGTGAGATTAATAATATTTTTTTTTTTGTAATATTAAGTCAAACCCGTTCCATCTTACAACCCGACCCGTCATATAACTTGTTGGAAGCATATTATAGTATTTCTCGTCTTATACCCCATCATGTCATATAATCGCCAAAAAAAAAAAATACATATTTCCCATCTGTCCGTCTTGATTTTACTTCAATAAGTAAAAGAAAAAAATGCTATCAAAACTGAAAAACAAAAATGGATATTCTAAGCTTACACACAAAGATTTGGTTATATATATAGGTAAATGGTGTGGGAAAGTTAAATATTTTAAATAATAAAAATTAACAAAATATTGCATAAAGGATTTGTATTTTCTTATCTTTTAAATATAAATGGAGAAATATAAAATATTGATCTGTTTTGTAATTTTTGATTTATTTTTAACATATTTTTACCCAAAATATTGCATAAATTTCAATGGTTCGGTTTTCACTTTCCACAAATTTCGTCAAAGAAATTCTGTACATAATAAATTGAAAAAGGTAAATTTAGAAAATTTTAATAATGTTTTGATCTATTTTTATTATATAATAACCTAGTAGTTATGGTAGTTACTAAAATATAGAGAAATTAAAAGTTTCAAATTGTTTCTTTTTTTTTTGTGGAAAGTTTCAAATTGTTTCTTATATTAATTATTATATATATATTGCAGATTTATTCATTATATTATTATTATTAAATAATAATGTGTGTATCCCACAAAAAATAATAATAATCGTGTGCCTATTTAATATTTATAAAATCGACTGACTTTAGTTTGAGAAGTTTGCCTCATATTTTTGAATTTTACATTAGTTATTTTTGGAAATTTTTATTAATATAATAAGTATGTATTAAATTTGAAAATTGTTTTAGCTATTTTCGAAATAATTAATAGAGATTTTCTTAACTATTTTTTTGCAATAATAAATATTTCTTTAACTTGAAGATTTTCTTAAGTATTTTCGAAAAATTTTAGGGAGATTTTCTTGTTTTCATTATTGATTTTTAAACTATTTAAAAAGAAATATTAATACCAATGGCAGAACCTTGTAAATAAGTGAGCAAAGCAAGGGTTTTTTCATAAGTTGCTGCAAAAATGTTAATATAGATTATAAGATTAGAAAATGATAATTAACACTAATAATCTGATTTTTTTTTTAAAATAACAACCTTTTTAGCCTCCAAAAGAAAAAAAAAGTTATAAACATTAATAATATATAGAAGAAAAATGAAAATATTAGGGAACACAATTAGACATGAAAAATATATATATATATATAGAGCAGTATAGTAGGACTAACCAACATTTTAACGCGTAGTTTTTTATTTTTCTATTTGAAATGATGTTGATGATTTGCATAGTTTTCCAAAGATCTCAAAAGTTCAAATTAAGTGCCAAATAAGAAAGGGTAATAACTAATTGTTTTAAACGAAAATTAGAAAAAGTTTTAAAAGTGGTAATGATTATGGTTATGACAAGAATGATACTTCTCCAATAGATTTTAATTGTAACAATGTTTACAATTGCGTTAATTTTGTTGAAAATCTTAACCACAAAGGTGGAAACTTAAAAAATCGAAACAGTACGTATAATGTTTATCAATTGTAAAATAGTTTGCATATTTTTATGGCAGCTAAAATGCTTGTGTATTTTTGTGAAAAAATAAATAAGTCACGTATTTGTTTAGGAATTTTTCCTAATAATATTACTAAGTAAATTCTCATTTTATATTTATCCATTCTCTATTTGTATATTCATATTTTCTATTTCATTTATATTATTAATTTTTCTTTAAAGTTTAGTCTACTCTGTGAAATATTGTTTCTTTTAATAATATATAATAATATGAATGTTTATGAATTTGTTAGAAAGAAAAATAAAGTTTATGAATTAAATTTAGGTGTAATATTCATTGTTTTCATAAACAAGTTATCAAGATCCCACATAATTTGATAGAATATGTTAAACATCTTAGTAAAGAGAAAAATCTTCTATTATATATGCATATTGCTTTTATACCTTTTCGGCAAATCAAATATATTGATATTAAAAAGTGTTTATAAGATAAAATAAACATTTAAAACAACCGATTATTACACAAATACATGAAATTATTAAAATTTCGATAAAGGAGTAGGAATTAACCATGCTATTTTTAGTCTTATAGGCTAACAGATTATATTTGTTATATCTCTCCTTTAGATACTGTTTATTGGCTAACAAAAATTTAGTGGACTACTAGTGCTTGCTAATTTCTTGATAAAAAAAAAATTCTTTTATGATAACATTTTTAAAATATATATTAATGAATGTTTTGTAATAATAAAAATGTTGATGATTGCATTTCCTAACAATAATAAACAAAAGTGGACTAGTAGTGCTTGCTAATTTATTAATAAGAAAAATAAAACAATATTTTAGTTTTCTTGGAGATATATGGTTTTAAAAAAGTTAAAATTAGGCAATAATTAATTGTTGGCAAGAAAACTAAAAAACGAAGTAAAAAAGTAATAACTATATACTATAGGTAAAAACTAATTTTATATTTATCCAACATTTTTTTTTTATCTTAGAGTTCTTACATCATAGAATTGTTACTATTTCCCGGAGAATTCTCTGTGTACTATTCGTCTATCCTAGCGATAGCCTATATATTTTTGGCAGAATATGTGTTGCATCCTAATGAGCGTCCTATTACGTTATGTAATCATAAGTAAATTTTACATCCTTAATTTATATTATAGTGTTAATTAAATTAATTTTGTCTTATGTGTTCATTTGCTAACAAATTTTTCTATGGGCTTACACGACGGATGACTTGCGAAATGCAATTATTTTTTGCACAAAATATTATTTGGGAGATGTTATCAAGTTTGCCTATATACACTCACTAAATATATTTCCGCTCGGGTAAGCAACATCAATTGTAACATTTTCGGTGGTTATCTGTCACTGAGGATGCATCTATTCTTATATATTTTTTTGTTGTATTTTTATTATTTATTTCTTTATATTTTAGTTTTTTGTGTGTGTGTGAAATGATGTTGTTTATGACAACTTTATTTTTGATGTTAATTGATTTGCATTATATATATATTATACCTACTCTAATATAAGAAATGGGAAGTGAATTATTACTTCTTGGTTTCGTGAATATATCTTGATAATAAATAGAAGTGACTAGTGGTGTTCCTCAGATGTGTGTTATAATTGTCCAAAAACATATTTTGTCTAAGAAACTATTTCACTTACTCGTATTTGAACCAACATAGCTAGTGAAATTGAAAAAACTGTGGCTGACCATCAATTACACAAGCAAAATGCACCACAGTTTTGTTATATATATGACTATAAACAAGTTAGAATATCATAATTGTCCAAAGGACCAATGGTGAATATTAAACATAGTAAGAACTTTTTTATAAACGACGAGAGTATCCAGAACCTCCACATTTCTTGCAAAAAATCAAACCTACATAATAACATAAACAAAAACAAAACTAATCATTTGTTTGTGTATTAAGTAACTACTGTACTTAGCATCACATGAAAGGGTTTAAGAACATAGTTTAAGTAATTAAGCACCTGAACCTTTGCAGACTTTGCAATCAACCATGCCTGATTCCACCTTCATCTTCCCTTCTAGACAGAACACACATTTCGTACCGCCTTTTTCGAGCAAAACCCGTCAAACAAATGATGATTATAAACTCAATTAGACTCCAAAATACTTAAACATTACTCACTTCCATTGAACAATGCATAACATGAGTAATCAATCAAAAACAGAACCATGGTACAGAGTAAAACTAGTTTTGGTTTCTTTAAGGTAACTAAAGATTTGATACGTTACACAAATCATAATGCAAGAAAAGAGACAAGAGACAAGAGACATACCATTTCCACCACATCTTTCACATGGCACTGGATCTCCCTGTAAAGATCAAAACCACACAAAATTCTCAAGTTAATGAATGATTAAAGAAGAGAAAGATTCATAATAAGAGTTTCAAGAACCTTTTTACCTTGAAGCCAAGGAAGAGAGAAAGAGCAATGGCTACAACGAGACTAATAGTGACAATGAAGGTTTGTGTATCGATGAATCCTCCACCGCCATCGAAGCCGCTTCCACTTAGGAAGATGATTGAAGGGTGAATGATGAGATTAGCTGATGATTGATGAACACTTGTTCTCCACTTGTTCTTGTTTCTATGGTGACTGATTAGTTCAGGTTTCGGAAAGAAGAGAAATTGTGGTGTTGGGTTTAACGAAGAAGATGAAAGAGATGAAGAAGAAAGAAGTTGCAGAGAGATGAGAGGTCGAGTGGCCATGGATTCACTAGAAGAAAAAAAAACTCAGAGGATTATAGCAAAGAAGACATGTGGATGGAGAACAGAGAACAAAAAAAAAAAAAGAATCCGTAAACTAATGGGCCGTAATTGGGCCTAGTGGGCCTAAGTTGAGACTAATGGGCCTTTGGATCTGGCCCATTTTATTGTTTACGATTAAAAGCAATGAGTTATTATAAAAGCTCAGCTTCGTCTTCGTCGACTCAATTTCTAGGGTTTTGAAGAGTATCTCATTCGCCGTTTGTGTATCCTCTGTGAGCAAATCGAAGAAATGGGTCACTCTAATGTGTGGAACTCGCATCCGAAGAAGTACGGACCTGGATCTCGAACTTGGTAATACATCTCTCTCTCAGATTTGATTTGGTTTCGAACACCATTCTCTGATGAATCTGATTGTGTAAGAGTTATGTTTTGTGATGTATCGATCGAGACTTGTGAGATTTAGCTTTGATGGTTTGTGTATTGCTGTTGCTTGTGAGATTATCATGTGTTATGTATCTTAGCATTTGAAGTTTCTGACTTTGTGAATCTGCAAATTCTTGTTTTTTTTTATGAAACTGATAGTATTGATTAGCTTATGTATGAGGATTGTTATATTTAGCTTATGTGTTATCTTTGACTTTGTAATTTTGCATACTCGTGTCTGTGTATTAATCTTGATTGTAGTGATTAGGTTGTTTATAATCTTCTCCGGTTAAGATTAGCTTATGTTGTTGTAATTTTGTAAGTTCTTGTTTGTATGAAGCTAATCGTAGTGATTAGCTTTGTGTATGAGATTGTAATATATGACTTATGTATTCATCAATGTGACATTGGTTGTTGTGTGTTGTTATATCTAGCTGATTGGGGTGATTATGTATGAGATTGATATACTTTGTTTCTGTTTATATCAATGTGAGATTTGGTTTTGTGTTGTGACATTTGAAGAGACTGAGTTTGTATTATTTGTTGTGTGTATGTAGCCGTGTGTGCGGGAACTCCCACGGGCTGATCAGGAAGTATGGATTGAACTGTTGCAGACAGTGTTTCCGCAGCAATGCTAAGGAAATTGGATTCATTAAGGTAAAATTTCCATGTCCATGAGTTGTGTTTTTGTTTCGTTCCTGTTTTCGTAGATGTTTTATTCTTGGTTTTGTTTTCTTGTTTTCTGCAGTACCGTTAATGAGAGACCAAACTTCATGATGGATGCTTAGATTACACACTTGATTGCGGCATCCGATGGATTGGTTTTTGAAGCTCTTGTAGTTTTGATGTTTTACTTGGGAACCTTGTTATTCTGAGAGTTGATTAAGTTGTTGAACCTCTCATTAAGCTTATCTTGTTTGGATCAGTGAAGTTTTAGTTATCTCGTTTTATAAGTCATTTCTTGACCAAGCTCTTATTAAATTTGGATGTTTTAAAGCTACACTAGACTTTCATATCTCTGAAGAAGACCACCGCAAGAAGTATAGTCTAGTTTAGTTTGAAGAATCAAAATTGTTTTGATATTTTGCTTGGCAAGCGAATCAAAATTGCTATGTAGACAGCCTTGTCTAAGACTAGTATAGGTCGACGACTACAAAAATGACCGTCACAATCACAGTTATAGGTAACTGATGAAATGTATAGTTTTGTTCGAAATGAAAGCTTAACTAGTGTTGTGCCGTGATCATGTTAAATGTTATCTAAATGTGAGTTAGCTATGAGCTTTTTAGATTATTTTTAAGTTGTTGAAATTTAATTTCTTTAAAGCTTCTGTCTTGTTTGACCGTGTGATAAATAAGTTAATCAATAGATGTCAAAAAAAAAAAAAGTTTGGCTTTAGCTGAGAAAGGGGAAAAGTAGCGAAAATCAACCCACACTATTTGATGGCGGTATATTTATATCCAAACTACGATACTTGGCAAATAGCAACCTAAACTCACAAAATTTTCAAATTCCCAACATAAACTATATGAAATCAGCCAAAGTCAAAATATACCGACACGGTGTTAGTTAACCACTTAACAGCGATGAGTCAGTCGACACCATAGCAGTGACAGGACATCGGAGTTGAGAAAAACGAAGTCGTTTTGTGAGTTTAGGGTTCTCGAATTGAAGATTCGATGAGTTTTTGCTTTAGCAGTTCTTTGATTCGAGGGCCCTAAACTCACGAAACGACGTCATATTACTCAACTCTAATGTTCCGTCATTGCCACGATGTTGGCTGATTCATCGCCGTTAAATGGTTAACTAACAACGTTTCGATATATATTGATTTTCGCTGATTTCATATAATTTAGGTTGAGAATTTGAATTTATGTGAGTTTAGGTTGCTATTTGCCGGGTATCGTAATTTGAGTATAAAAATACCGCCATCAAATAGTCTGGGTTGATTTTTGCTATTTTTCGCTGAGAAGGGCTACTTGGTTATTTTGATAGATTTGACATCGGATAGTATTTATTTTCGTAACAGGGGTGTTACAAGCACTATTGTAGCAAATTAGTGACACGTAAGAGCCCACATATGCAAAGGCAAGAACCTCAAGAAAAAGACCAAACTAAGCAAATTTAATAGTCTCAAAAGACAGAAGTTGATAACCATGTTTGCAGCCAGAAACAATGACAACAACAAACTGCAACATTCGCAATTGAATGAAATGTTGATAAGCCAAAAAGACGATGATGCTCCATTGTAGAGGTCAAAAGATTAAGATATTAGCACGAAATATACAGTGATGAAGCGGAAAAAGAGGGAGGGGTGAGGATAAGGAAATGGAGAAGAAAGCTAAGTTAGAGTGGAGATGGGAGGACTGTGCAAAGTCAAATGGCAAATTGGTTATACTGATTGGTGAGGGAGAAAAGATAAAAAAAACATTACGAGACATTAGAGTTTCATGGCAAATTTTATAGGCTGCTAATTTTTATTTAATTTTAAAATTATATTAAAGAACACAAGCTGTTGACCGTTGCCAACAATGTTTTGAAATTGTTTAAAAACTATAAGAGTTACAATTACTACCTCAATTATTTTTAATTTTTAGATAATACTAAAAAATAATTTCATAGTTAGATAAATTTACCTTTCTCTTTCTATATGTATAATAAATTTAGTACAATTTATATTAGATTTTTTTTCTTTTATGTTTCGCTTGGGGTAGGAGGACATAGTGTTTTTGGCTCTGGATACATAAATCGAAACAACTAAATTGTGATAATCATGGTGAAAAGAAGAAAAGTTTTTTGTTTTGTTTTGTTTTAGTGATCTGACTTATTAGTTGTTCCTATCATAGTTAAAATTTAATATGATTTTTCAATGATTTGATGAATATGATGTCTTTGTAAAATAAAAAAATGGGCTTGCGAAGCTGGAATTGCAATGGTTTTACCGCCGAGAAGATATAAAATTAAACTTGTTGGAAAGTGGATGTCTAAAGACTCAAATGGGATTTTCTATAGTTTCCATCGTGAGGTTTTTGCTGAATCTGTGAAGCACAAATTTCAAGCGCAAGTATGTTGTGTCTTTTGTGCCAAATTAAGCAAACACTTGCGTTTCATAGATTTAGCAAACACTTCAGCACAATGAAAGCTAAAGAAAATCTCCTTTAAGTCTTTATATTTCCCTTTTCCATAAACGTGTTTTATGATTATATCTTCCCGATGATAAAACCATTGGATCTCAAGCTTTAATATTCCATCTTTATATATTTTTTTTTACCAAAAGATCTTGTCTAACACACATTAGAAAATGATAATTAATTATGATATCAACATAAAATCATATATGAAATAGAAATTTTCGTCCCTCGTACTTTGATAATCACAATGTAGTAGTCTTCGTTTATGTTGCTGGAGGGAAGTTTCTGGATATTCATTGGTGAGTCTATGCTGGCGGACTTAGTTATTTTTTTTGTTTCGGAGATGTATGACCTCATTCTGGGTATAGATTGACTTGGTTAATATCAGATCAGACGCATTTGGATTGTCATCAAGGAAATCTTGCTTTTGAGAAGGAAGTGAAGGTTGGTATATCATACTATGAGATCGACTTCCGGGAGTTTTGTGATTCTAACCATGCTAAGATGACCGAGAAGGGTTTTAAGGCCAAAATGGCGACGATTGTCACCGTAGAGAATGCTAGAGCGGTTGGGGTTGGTAATATTTAGGTTGTTTAGGATTTTGATTATGTGTTATAATTGTTGTAGGGTTTATCGCCGTCTTGGAACCGGAGACTATACTGATATCAAAGGTTCTCGGTAATGATTTTATTCGATCGAGTAGTTCACTATGGTGAGCCCAAGTCGTGTATATGAACAAAATATATAAGAGTTTTTGCTTATACATCGGTAACAAGATACTTAACCGAGGTACAGTGAAGAACAACTACACTTTATCACAAATTAATTTGGTTAAACGGAGTAAGGCAACTTGGTTTTTCATGTCAGATTTGACAACGAATAATCATCAAATTCTGATTGATGAGGCAGATATTTAGAAGTCATCTTTCTAGAAAATATATAGGAACTCGTTATGATACCATGCCTTATGCTTCTAGGATTGATCGAGTCTAGACTCCTAAAGCAAATAACAAAACCTCCTCATTTTTCATACATGTATATTTTTGAGACACGGGCGTTACAAGCACCATAGCAGAAAATTAGTGACACGCTAGGAACCCACACAACCAATGGCAAGAACCTCAAGAAAAAGGCCAAATTAAGCAAACTTCATAGCCTCAAGAGACAGAAGTGGATAAACATGTTTGCGGCCATAACCTATGAGAAAGGAAAAAATCTACATTTAAGAAATTAGAGAAAAAAGCGACTGCTTTAACACCGGACTACACCAACACCTCAACTGCTCTGAATAGTTACTGAGAGCAGCAACCCTGAGCTCTAAACCACAATACCGATGAACAAACTAGAGAGGCTAAGTTTCATTGCTATGGTTGGATCATTATTCTCTTCGAATGAGAAAACTAAAAAAAATTACTATTACGTATTTTTTTATCATGATATAAAAAATCAGAAAAATGTGTAGCAAATTAACCTTATATGGTTTTTAATAGCACTACTTATTTTAAATGCTGTGAATAATTCTTCAAATAAATAAATTTATTTATTGATGTTACTATGTTAAATTCATACGGCATGAATGGAGAATATCCTAGATAAAAGACTCACATGATTAGAACGATTTATTACACTTGATAAAACTTTAAAGTTATCTTATTTGATGAAAATTGTGGTCTCTATTTTCCATACTGACTGTACAAACTATTATTGTATATTTAAAGAAATCGATTGCTTGTTTAGATTGTGATAAGATAGTTGCAGGATTCCTTGTGTTTTTATCTTTTTATACTCAAATGATATCTAACTTCTTATATATAAGGAGTTAAAATTACTTTTAGACATTAACTGAATTATAATATTTTTTTATTTGACAATTGATAGTAATATTTAATGTGTTGAGATTATCTTAGATATGATGTGTTTTCTTTTTGTTTATAAAATGACAAGACGTTTTCAAACATTGGTCAAGGTGGAGAAGAATCAGGTACACATCTAAGTTAGATACTAACAATTAGATTTATTTTTTTATCATATTTTTCTCCCCATCATGAATCATCTTTTATCTTGCTAAATGCTTATCACTAATTATTAATGTATCAAAGATAAAAGACTCACATGATTAGTGAATGGAGAATATCCTAGATAAAAGACTCACATGAGTCTTCGCAATTTAATGAAGTATTGATGAGCCAAAAAGACGATGATGTTCCAATGTAGAGGTCAAGGGTTCCAGATATTAACACTAAATCTATGGTGATGAAGCGGACGAAAAAGGAGGAGTAAGGATAAGGAAGGGAAGAAGAAAGCTAAGTTAGAGTAGAGATGAGAGGATTGTGCAAAGTCAAATGGCAAATTAGTTATATTGGATTTGCAATGGTTTTACTACAGAGAAGATATAAAATTTAACATGTTGGAAAGTGGATGTTTAAAGACTCAAAGGAAAATTTCTAAAATGTCCATCGTGAGTTTTTTGCTGAATCTGTGAAGCACATATTTCAAGCGCAAGTATCTTGTGTCTTTTGGACCAAATTAAACAAGACACTTGCGTTTCATAGATTCAGCAAACACTTAATCACGATGGAAGCTGAATAAAATCTCCTTTAAATCTTCATATTTCCCTTTTCCATAAAATTATATCTTCCCATTATTGGACCTCGAGCTTTAACATTCCATGTTATTTTATTTTTTTACCAAAAGATCTTGTCTAACACATAATAAAAATTTATCTTTACTTTTGGGTTATGATATCAACATAAAATCTTATATATAATAGAAATTTTCACCCCTCTTACTTTGATAATCATAATGTAGTTGTTTTCGTTGATGTTGTTAGACGGAAGTTTCTGGATATTC